ATTTCCAGAGGCAGGTATAAATCAGTATGGAGATAACGAGGTTAGTTGCTCACCCTCTCTGATTGAACTAACCTCGTTATCTCCATACTGATTTATACCTGCCTCTGGAAATTTCCATTACTTGCATCTGAAGAAGTGAGGTTCTTACCCACGAAAGCTTATGCTCCCAATACTTCTGTTAGTCTTAAAGGTGCCACAGGACCCTCTGTTGCTTTTTACAGATTCAGACTAACACGGCTACCCCTCTGATACTTCCTTTTTTGAGAATTTTGTTCATAAACTTGCAACTACATGGCGGGAAAGTCCCAGCTACAGCGGATAGTATGGAAAAATGTATTGGCGGTGGGTGAAGCAGTTTGGAGTTCTACAAGCCCAGTAAGGAGTTCCATGCCCCTCAAGCCCAATTGCTAAGCTCCCGACAAAATTAAATCCCAAACATTTACCTTGCTTAGCCCTAAGTATGTCACCATTGACAAAACAGGTGCTGCCAATGCAAAGACCAGCAAGTGCTTTCTGATTCGATTCCGTTCCAGCCCAGCATGCATTAGAAAGGAAACCAGGCCAAAGGCAGCTGGTGCCTGTAAAAGAACAATAGTCAGTGCAATATCAGCTTGGCTAGGATTCCCTGTAATTTAAGATGTCCAAAGACAAAAAAAGTTGTGGTAAATATGTATTATTCCTACTAACTATATTGAAGTGGAATATTCCCAACCAGAGTGCAGGGATGCTCTACAGTTACTGACCTAGAACAGTTATGCCACTCTCTGCATTCTTTTTGGTTCTGGTTATCTTATTTCCATAATCACTGGATGGTTATTTCATAATAACAATACAGCATATGAATCCACGTACTATTATTGAATGCCAGGATTTTCATTACTGTACTGATTTGATTGGTAACTGTAACCCTTTTGTTCTGACTCGCTTTGGTAATCAAAATTTGTTCTGATCAACTTTTGTAATCAGAATTTTTAGGCTACCTGCAAGAAACAAATATGCCTCCTAAGTGACTTTTCTTCAACTAAGGGAGGAAAAATTCCAGCATTTACATGAAAGAAGAAAAAATGCCATCAAAACAAAGAAAAAGGGGCTGTCAAACTGTCAGTAAAAGATTAACAATCTTTTTGATTTATTTCCCTCCTTCAGGCCCAATTCTGATCCAACTAAAATCAATGAGAGCTTTGGTACTGACCTCAGTGGAAGCAAGACCAGACACTTCTTCCCCTCTCCCATCAATCCAGTCCCTTCCGTACAAGCCACAAGAACTATCAGATTCGTGGTTACATCGGGACAATCCCAAACTTCCCTTCCCAATTTAGTTTTGAAACACAATGTAAATTAAAATATATTGCAGCTGCCTGCCTGCAGGAGAAGCTTGCTGATCTTTAGGAAGGGAAATACAGGTGGGGAAAGAAGATATGTGCGGGGGAAAAGTAGCAGTAATTGTGGAAGGGGTAAGGAAGAGAAAAAAATTCAATTTTTTAAAAAAATTCTTTCAGCATCTCATTGACAACCCACTTTTAAAAAAGTTTTCTTCTTTCATTTAAAAAATATTTACTGTACACTTTTAAAATATTGTTAATAATAATTTAAAATGTTAGAATAATAAGTGTTCGCTTCCCCTTTACTTGGTAATAACCAGATCCTGACCTATAAAACACCGTGGCCTTTGGCCTCAATGTTGTCATCCCAGAACATGGTTACCATGTATATCACTTATTATACAAGTGAAAACACAGCAGACCTGATTTTTCAAACACTTTAGGCATGCATCTACACAGGCAAAAAGTCTGAACAAACTGCATGACTAATTACTTTGAATGGCAGTAGGTTGCAATAGCTGCACATACAAATTAGGTGTGCAACTGTGTGCTTGAGGTATTTGAAAACTAGATCCAATAAATCTTTTCCATACCATGTACAAATAAGGTCTGAACAAATACATGTTTAATTGAGTATTAATGAGAAATTGAAAGGCTATTGCCCCAACTTTGGAGTTTGGTGTTTCTTCTTTATTGCAGAAGACATATCAAAACACTTATTACAGTGTAAGGAACTCAATTCAATTTTGCTTCAGATGTCTGCGATGCTGTAACCCTATAAACCTCAGCGTTACCCTTTAATGATGAAAAATGACTGCAGACCTCTTAATACGTTACTTCTGGGAGAATTCTGCACAGAATTAATATCCCCCGCAGAATAATTGATTCATGCGCCCCTTCCAGGCAGCAGTCCCGAGCAGGTGCGTCTGATTTGGGCATCAGGAACAGCCGGGGAAGACATAAATCAATGCCTTGGGGGGCGAGGCTGGGCGTGCATGCAAGACTCTGTCCCTCTTGTTCGCTATCATGGTGTGCCCAGAGCCGGAAATGGGCAGAGCGGGGGATGCCCTGGCCGGTGGCTCCTACCCTGCGCTGGGCTCCAGTTGCTAGTCCCGGCTAGGCTGCGGGGGGACATGAAAGGATTTCCTCTTCCCCTGCATGGAGTGGCTGGGGATGGGTCAGCCCACTCCCAGGAACCGCCCCAAGCTGCAGACGGCTACACACACACATACACATGCGCTTCCTGCCCCCATGGCTCCCCAGCCATGGGGGGGGAGGGGTCACTATACAGATAGTTGCCCCCATCCACTCAACCCCAGATGCCCCCCCACCGCTCTGCATCCTGACCCCCACGCCTGCACCTACACCACCCCTGAGCAACCTGCACTCAACCCCCTACCCTGACAAGCCCCACCCCCCCTGCACCTGAACCATCCCGCCAAGTCCCCAGCACCCAGACCCCCACCCCACTAAGCCCCAACCAGCTACACCTGGACCCCCACCCTGCACCCAGACCTCCCGGCCGAGCCCTATCCCCACGACACCCAGACCCCCCCTACTGAGCCCCAACCACCTTCACCTAGACCCCCCGCAGAGTCCAATTCCCCCTGCACCCGGAATCCCCCCAAGGAGTCCCTGTGAATCCAGATCCCCCACACACCTGGATTCCCCACTGAGCTGCCTGCACCCGGACTGTCCCACACAGAACCCTCTCACCTAGATCCCCCCCACACTAAGCCCCTCCACACTTAGATCCTGCCGGACAGAGCCTGCTTCCCCCACACCCGGATCAGGCAGCAGCGCTGGGCATGTGTGCGAGTGAGACTCTGTCCCTCTCGCTCACTATCATGGTGTGCCGGCATGGAGGGGCAGTGCTGCATGGTGTTTCTGCGGCAGGCCCAGCCCTTGTGCTGTGTCAGGGTGGAGTGCAGCCTTACCACTGCATCCGTGTCCCGGGGAGGGGGTGGGGCAGCAGGATCCCCCACCTCTATGTAGCCAGTAGCCTGCGCTTGCCACTGCCATGCTGGAGCCTTCACACCCATTGCCCTTCTAATCTATTGTCTGCAACAATTTCAATTCTAGTCCAGTGACTATACGGTGACATGGTGAGTACTACTTAACCATGCCACTCACTAAGGCCCCAATCTGGCAAAGCATTAGTTTCACTGGGGATACTCAGGCGCTGAACTTTATGGACATATTTAAGTGCTGTGCCAAATCATGGCCTAACTTCACTCCTAAGGATGTACTGCCCTTTAGGATATGTTTACACAGCAAAGAAAAACCCGCAGCTGGTCCATGCCAACCAACTTGGGCTCACAGGTCTTGGGCGTGGTGGAGCTGTTTCATTGCTGTGTAGACTTCTGGGCTAGGGCTGGAGCCTGGGCTCTAGGACCCTGCAGGGTGGGAGGGTAGGGTTGCCAACTTTCTAATGGCAGAAAACCGAACCCCTTGCCCCGCTCCCTGCCCCAAGGCCCTGCCCCTTCTCTGAGGTCACGCCCTCACTCACTCTATCCCCTCTCCCGCTGTCGCTTGCTCTCCCCCACCCTCGCTCACTCACTCATTTTCACCAGGCTGGGGTGGTGAGGGCTCCGGCTGGGGGTGCAGGCTCTGGTGTGGGGCCAGGGATGAGGGATCTGGAGTGTGGGAGGGGGCTCCGGGCTGAGGCAGGGAGTTGAAGTGTGGGAGGGGGTATGGGCTCCTGGGTGAGGCCAGAAATGAGGGGTTCAGTGTGCGGGAGGGGGCTCTGGGCTGGAGCAGGAAGGTGGGGTGCAGGCTCTGAGAGGGAGTTTGGGTGTGGGAGGGGGCTCCAGGCTGGGGCCAAGGGGTTCGGAATGCAGGAGAGGTTTTGGCATGCAGGCTCTGGGCGGCACTGACCTCAGGTGGCTCCCAGGAAGTGGCCAGCATGTCCCTCCAGCTCCTAGGTGGAGGGGCCAGGGGGCTCTGCGTGCTGCCCCTGCCCATAGGCACCGCCCCTGCACCTCCCATTGGCTGCAGTTCCTGGCCAATGGGAGCTGCAGAGCTGGTGCTCACGGTGGGGGCTGCACGCGGAGCCCCTGTGGCCGCCCCTTCGCCTAGGAGCTGGACTGACATGTCAGCCTCTTCCTGGGAGCCAGACAGAGAGCCTGCCTGCCCTGCTGCACCGCCAACCAGACTTTTAACGGCCTGGTCAGCGGTGCTGACCGAAGCTGCCAGGGTCCCTTTTCGAGCGGGTGTTCTGGTCGAAAACCAGACACCTGGCAACCCAATGGAAGGGTCCCAGAGTTCTGGCTCTAGTCCGAGCCCAGAAGGCTGCACAGCAATTAAACAGCCCCCAAACCTGAGCTCCGTGAGCCTGAGTTGGCTGGCATGGGCCAGCCGTGGGTTTTTCTTTGCTGTGTGGACATACCCTTAAAGTCTTCTGTGCTTGACATACATGGAAATATTATTGCTGTCTGTTCTGTGGAGCCATTTAGATGTGCTAATACACCTAGTAAGGAATCTATTTGTCAAAAAACATTTCCTGGATCTTTTTTATTGCCTGTATTGTTACGGACACACTTGCTGACAGGTATTATGAAATAAATTACCAAAATAATTGAAAATAGTATGATAATATTATGATATTTTGACAAATAAAATATGCAGCATTTTAAAATACTGTGCACAGAATTTTTTATTTTTTGGCACGGAATTTCCCCAGGAGTAATGTATATATTGTTCCCATAGTGCTGAAAACCACACATACAGATAGAAATGAATCCTAGCAGGAGGAAACAGTTTTCCGTACTTTAACATAACATACATAAGTACCCCTTGCCATATCCCCAGGGCTTCTTCAAGTATCCCTAGGGGCTGGTCTACACTACCGCTTAAGTCAATGTAATTTACGTCGCTCAGGGGCGTGAAAAAGCCATGCAAGTTACATTGACTTAAAGCGGTGTCCACACTGCGCTATGTTGGCGGGAGACGCTGACATAGCTTCTGCATCTCGTTGAGGTGGAGTAATTATGCCAACAGGAGAGCACTCTCCCGTCAGCATAGAGCATCTTCACCAGACATGCTGCAGCAGCGCAGATGCAGCATTGTGGCTGTTACTATAGCAGTGTGGCTGCTACATTTCCTCCAGTGAATATATTGTTCTCCTTTCTCTCTCTCCCCCATTTTTGTAGGTCATAGTCAGATAGTTTGGGCAGCAGGGGGTTGGGTTTGTCAATGAACAGCTGAAATGCATCCTCCCCCACCCAAACTGACTGGATATAGCTTCCTTTGATACCCATAGCCACCCAATATTATACTTGTGTTCTCCAATCCCTTATTTTGTATTACCACCTGATCACTTCACTGCAACTCCACATACTGAGGTTAACTCAAGCAAGAAACCCAAATAATTAACTCCTCCTACATGCAGTAGAAACTGACTTTTCTTTAAAAAAAAAAAAAAGTATGAATTTATGATCTGGACTTACCTTGTGTAACATAATTGCAACAAACACTATTAACTGGACACTGGTCTGAGAAGTGGAAGCTGCTGCACCCAATGCAACACCATCAGCTTAATGGGTAGAAAGCCAAAAGAGCGCATAAGAGTTCACTGATTATTCATACACACCACAAGGTTTACTTATTTTTCCATTGGCTACCAAAATAAAATTGTATATTGCTTTAAAAATAATTTCCCTTACTTACAAAACCCTTAATACTGACCCAGCTGCTCTCTGACTTGCTTCCCCCTTCCTTTCCTGAGCCACTCTGAGGTTTGAGGGCAAAATCCTAGCCCTACTGAAGTCAAGGGGAGTTTTGCCACTGACTTCAATAGCGCAAGGATTTCACACGGAGTCTGCTCAGTCTTTGGTATGTCCTAATATAAAACTGGAATAATTCAGGGAACAGAGATTTAGTAACTAATTTCAAAAGTTATGGAATGTGTTTCCTATCTAAACTTAAAGCTGAAAATCAGTTTTAATCTTTACAAATTTACAAAGAATTCTAGTTATTACTTTTGGAATTGTGAAATGCCTAAATGTTACATAAACATTGTTTTACTGTGAAAAAAATCAAAAGAAAAACATACAAATCAGTTAATTGGCTGTTCATAAAAAAATTCTCTCTTTTTATATAAAATACATGCATTAATGAAACAACATTTTTTGGTTAAAATCTGTTTCATGACGTACATTTACACAGTGCCTTTTATCATGGTAGATCCAAAAACATTTGTGTATATGTACGCATTTATATTACACACACACACACACACACACACACACACACACACACACACACACACACAGAGTGAAGTGTAGAGGATTACTTCATGATAGTTTGAGCTAGACAAATTATATATAAACAATAAAGTAAATGAATGAGTTAAACAGATCCCAAACGAGTGTGAATCAAAACCTTAACACTGTATGACACAGACAAATATTTTGTTTATAGAACATATTTTTAGAGGAAAAACTGCTTTAAAGAAGTTTTAGATAAATTTAAAATTGATACTATTTTTCACAACATTCCCCTCTCCCATCTGTAAAAGTGGCTTATCTTAAGACCATGAATCCAAACTGTAAAGGTCTTGGCAAGACCGGGGGAAAAGTATTAACCAATACATTTTAGAAACTTCTAAAAGTTACTTAAGTAGCTTTTCTATATATAAATGTATAATGATGACCAATATCTTCCAATCTACTAGGAGTAGAATTAAGTGTTGCCATTTCATTGGCAAGGAGTGTTTGTTGTATGAGAACATACCTACATTTCCAGTGGTTAAATGCACCATTTTCTAGCCCCAGTGGCCTGCAAGATATTGGACCTAGAACCAGTCATGGGTCCAGCACTGAATATTGCCCATCCTGCATGCAAGTCATTCCCCTCCACCAAATATGGATTTTCCCCCCACAGAATTACACCTTTCTTCCCACTCCCCCCAAAGTGACTCCTCTATGAAAGTTTCTCAGAGGTTTGGAATTTTAGAAGTGGTCCCAGCGGAGACGGATTAGTGGGCAGTTTGCAGATGAGGCAGCCAAAGGTTCAATATAAACAAATTGCTAAATCTAACTTGCATTTAAGTGGTAAAATCCCTGGAACAAGAAGTATCTTTTTTATTAAATGTGTTTACAGTGCCTAGCCCGTTGTGCACTATTGAAATCCAAATAAATGAATACATAATTCATTACAAAGATTTCAACCCCACATGTATAACATAACAAATATTTGTATGTATTGCTTCATCCATCACTGATCAGCAGCCACCACTGGAGTTGGAGCAGCAGATGGTTAACAATGCACCACAAGTCTTCAGAAAAAGAAACGAAGAAAAATATTGTATCTAATTAAGACTCCCAGGAACATTTTCGGGAGGCAGAATACTATTTTCATATTAGGATTTAATCAAGCCAATCACTCTCCTTTTGTTTTAAAATGAAACAGAAGATGCAAAAAATCCAAGGCTTTCAAAATAGCCTTCATTTTACAGTAAAAGTAATTTACTAAATACATCAAATGGGGACTCACCAGATCCTAAATGACTGATCAAACATACTATAATACTGTTACAGCTGCAGTTATAATAGACAAATTGGTGTCCCCTGCCCCTTAAAAATTTTGGATGAAGTGTTATTTTGCATTGCTAACACTTACCCCCCAACTATTTATACATTTTAAAAATTCTCTATGTTGTTTCTTAGCATCTAGAGTAGTTTCTCTCCTACAAAGTTAAAAATCAGGTTTACTGTGATTAAGATTTCTAAAAACCTCCCTAAACCTTTTCATCTGAATCATATCTAGACATATATCCCAGTCCCTGTGTGGATTTTTTCAAACCATTTTTAAACAATGTTCAGTTAGCTTACTTAGGAAAAGATGGAAAATGTACTTCTAAATAGATAAAAAATCCCCACAGTGCTAGCTTTTTTTGGTGACTATACAATAATTATTGCAATTTAAAATTCAAAAGGTTTATTTAAGACAGGAAAAATGACAGTGACAGAAGATTGCCCCTTACAGATCTTACAGTTATTCAGCCTACCTGCAGCATGGACCACTAGTCCCAGTGTAGTAGTGATTTTGGAATTGCCTGACCTTGCCGCTTCTGGGTCTGAAATAATCATCAGAAAATTAAACATTAGACAATATAAAATAACAACAAACATATGAATCATGCTGGAAAAAAACATATTACAAACACCGAGACATAATTTCTCAGCTGTGACCCATTTTTAAACAGTTAAGCAATTCCATAGGTTTCCCAGGCAAACTAGTCAAGATATCATATACTATCCTTCAGAATTTAAGGGAACATTGACAAGGGGATGCAACAGTCATCTTCCCTCATCTTTTTGAAACTAAACTATAGTTTGAGATTCTTTACCTTCCCCAGCTCAGCCCAGAAAGGTAGCTTTAAGCCACCTTTGTACTCAGGATTCTGGGCTACTCCAAGGGCTAGTGCATCTCCCAGCCTAAATAAGAGCAGCCAAGAGTTGCTCTAATTTACGTCAGCCTCCCAAATGCTGCCTCTGGGCTATTCCACAGTCTGATGCAGCACAGAATGCCCACACTATCATGTGCTATCCAGGCCTCCTCCCTCCCACTATGCCCCCTGAGCTGGGGCTTATAGGAAGGGCCAGCTATGGCAGTGACTGGACTATGGGCAACTCCCTGCTGGCTCCCTGTGAGTTGTTTATGAACTCTATATGCTGTCATATGGACTGAAGCAGATGGCAGAATCCTCCCATACTCTTTAATGTAGAAAGAGAACATCACGCATAACTGCTTAGGATTGAAGGCAGACGATAGGCCATTCATGTCTGTAATTGTTTGATAACTACTTTTATCTCACCATCTTTTTGTAAACTAACTTCTTCTGGAGAAATAAAAAAAACCCACTCCTATACAGAAGGGGAATCGATCAGTGAAAATTTTTTCCAGTGGGCTGTCAACTACTGTTACAAACATAAAAATATCTAATCCTTTAAATTTCAAGTGGTCAGACAACTTTAACTATATTGCTACTTGACTCTGCTACCTGAACTGAAAGCTTATTCCATCTATTCACACTCTCAAGTTCACTCTCACCCTTCAAGTTCAAGAGACAAAGTGGATGAGGTAATATCTTTTATTGGACCAACTTCTGTTGGTGAAAGTAGACGTTTTCTAAAGCTTGTCTTTCATCAACAGATGTTGGTCCAATAAAAGATATTATCTAACCCGTCTCTCTAAAGCCCTGGGACCAACACGGCTACAACACCCCTTCAAGTTCTTCTGTCATTTAATTCCTCTTAATTTAAACCTATGTCCTTAGTTCTGGACTATCCATGAAACCCAAACAGATGATCACATTTAAAGGTTATACCCCATTCTAACCTCTATATCTATCCTAGTTTAAGGGAACAGAAAATCTAGTCAACTGAGATAACATTAATGGGTAATTAATACCACTGCTTCAAGGTTCAAGTCAGGAAAAGGCATTTTATAAATCCCTAACTATTCCGGCAACACTTGCAGTTACTCTGTTATATTTCATGTGGGAGATAAAGCAAAGGCTCAGAAAAATTGTTCCCTATATTGTTCAGTTTTTGAGTCTGTGCATCTTAATAGGTCAAAGATACAAGAAAGCCCATTTTCTCCTAACCAGGAAAGAGAAAAAAAAAGGTGTTGTAAAATGTAGAAACAAGGATTTTAATACAAGTTGCTCTACTGAGTTTCTTGCTAACCTATTTGCCAAGCCTCCATTTGAGAAGCTAAGCGAATAAGATAACAGAGTCAGTACACAGACATGAGCATCTGCGGGGAAGACTTTCAATCAAGGTAAGAAGTCTATGTGTAGAGGAGGGGAAAGACAGAAAAGCGAGAGAATGTGATAAAGAGTATAAAATACTTACATTAACAAAATCTAAACATAAGCACATTGCTGAACACTGACAAGAAATAAGGATGTAAGTGAAGTATGATAGAATGGTCATTTCAACAGTATTTTGAACTACATTTTATTCAAAAGGTTTTTATAGGGGAATAAAATTTCACATTAAAAGTACAAATTTATTGGCTTAGTTTTCAGGAAAGATTACCTACATTTTGTTCTGCTGTACACAGAAAACCAGCATGCACTTACCGGGAAACTACTGAGGAAGATTACCAGTGAAAGTCACCATAGCCCTTATCATGCTTGGTGGTCCATGTGAAGTCCACTGAAGTCAACAGGGCTCTATGTGGTTGCAACAGTCAATCTGTGCAGATCACAATGCAGGACTGGGGCCTGTCTTCCATGAAAATTTACAGCCTGAACTAGGCCAATATTTTGTTCTTTGAAATGTTTAATTCTAAGCAAGACAAAGTAACTAATGAAGTTAAGGCTCTGGCTCTTCAGTTTTGGATTTTTGCTATGTCAGTGGACTACTCTATTTGTCATATATTAAAACCAACACTGCTTAAAGCCTTAACACACAATGCTGTTGGTAATCTATTATTTCTAAGTAGACTTTCTCTGTCAGCATGGCACAGTCCACACACTTGAGCATTATGAAGCAAATATTCACATTATGCTGGCTTCCAGCACTGACAGTAACACTGCTTTATTATTTCACATAACAGACCATGCTTACCTTTATGTTTGTAGAATACCAAGCTAAATAGAGCCCTCATCCTGACTGGGCACTACTGTATTAAAAATACATAATAAATAATCATATTCTGAAAATACACCTTGTTAATTCATTCTGGTTGCTGCACTAGCTCCAAGGCAAGTGCCAGTTTGGCAGGAGAGGCTTTACTTACCATCTGTAGAGTGCACGTGGGAGCTGCCTATCTGGTCCACCAAAAGCATGAAGACAAAACCAAGGACAAGGGAAACACCAATGTAGGCGTGTAATTTTGAATGGTCGTGGCCATGCTCATGCTCAGCTGTTATTTCTGCTGCTTTCTCAGATTCAATCACATTTTGAGTCTCACTGGCCTGATGGTGCTTCCCTAAAGCAGATAAACAGGTTGATTAGGAAGATCCCAAAGGTGATGTTCTAATATTTTCTAATCCTTCACGGAAAGCTTTCTTCATACCTGGTCTTAACAATATAAAGCAGGAAAGAAAAATAGATTTAGATGATTTTTTTTTTTTGTTTTTAATGTCCTAGTTTATCCCACTTTGGGGACCAACACTACTACTGTTGTAATTGAAATCAGTATATTTGAAAATGTAGAAAACATCCAAAAATATTTAAATTGTATTTTTTTAATTGCGCGATAAATTTTTTTAATCACTTGACAGCCCTACTTAAAATCTATCTTTCTGTAGTTAGTAAACCTGTTTTATATTGTACCTAAAAAAGTGTGTTTTGGTTGAAGTGCTTGGGAAATCTCAGCTCAGTTTACAAAAGGCTAGTGTGTATCCATTCCACATTGAGGGAGTGGCAAACTACTTAACGAACTTACACTGGCCAGGCTTCTGACCAGTGCAAGACAATTTAGTTCTGGGGTGCAAAGCTGGGGAGCTGAGGGGAATTGGCTGGACCCTCCCTATTGATGGTTCATGAGTGGCTGGGAGATCATTCATGTAACACAGTTGAGTGTGTCCCCACCTGTGGATGTCCGTGTAAGTGCAGTGCTTACCAGAGCATGACTTCAGCATCAGTGTGAGAAGCTGCCCAGGTTGGTGGGTTTGAAGGGCTGAGTGGTCCCTCAATCCAGGTTGCACCCCGGGGACCCCGTCACAACATTTCAAGTTATAGTATAGCCCCAAGTATGGAAGTCAGACTTTACTAAAACATGCATTTAACCATACTTAAAAGCCCCAAGTATATTCAGAAAAATTAAGCTGTTTCAGTTTCTCGATAATATGACCCCAGTCATCTCAGCTGCCCTTTCGTTGTTTAGGAGGGAAAAAAAACAATAAAGGAAACATGGTGACTAGTTTGAGCAAAGTTCGGGGGGGGTCAGAAGTTCTGGGTTTAATTCCTGACTACAACGTGACCTCAGGCATGTCATTTAACCTCTTTGCACCTCAGCTAACTCATCTATAAAAATACTGTACACACCTGAATCTCTAAAAAGTACTTTACAGATAGCAAAACAGGTGCAGCTATCTTGCCAAATCAGTGACTGAGTCAGAAGCCCTGAGATATATTCCTGACTCCCAGTCCCCATTCTAGCCTCTAGATAGAACTTGCTGCCTCCATCACAAAAGAGGGTTACTACTTATGAGTGTGTTTGCTAGGTTTACTTAGTATTTGTAAAGCACTTCAAGATCCTCGTAGGAAAAGGTGCAACAGAAGTGCTAAGTATGATATTGAGCTGGACCCAACCTTTGTCTCTTTTAACATTATTATAATTATTTTGTAAGGTTTTTCCCCCCCAGAAGACATAATTAATGTATATTCAGAGGGGTGACTCCATATTTTCATGAAAACTCTTAGGCGGAATTTATTTTAAAATGAATTTAAATGAAGCATTTTGCAATGCTTCAATGCCCTACAAAATGTAGGCATGGTGACTTTGAACAAAGAGGTGTCTGTGGCACGCAAGCCATTCTACAGACTCATGAAGAAACAGTTAGCTGTGGATGATGAAATTGCTGAGTAAGTCTGGGGTGGGTTGTTTTTTTTTTTTTGGTTCAAACGCTTGAGTAATACTGAATATTGTTTTCTATTATGAGGACTTCTGGCTTAATTAAATACTAATGGCCTCTTGAGGACAGCAGCTACTGTTAGAGACATCTGGGACAACCCTAGCAAAATATAATGATGTCTCACTGCTACTCTTTTTATGAATTAAATGGACCTTTCAACAGATCACTTCAGGGGGAGGGAGTGGAACACTATGTGCAAATGTTCAGTGTAGTGAGGCGACTTGGCTACCAGCCGCCCCTGCGAGGGACGAGCCAGAACAGCCGCCAGAGTGGGCGGAGTCACCGCCGCCTGTCCCCACCCCCCGGAAGTCAAGGGGCTGGACAGGAAGTATAAAGGCCCGGCCCCAGCGTTCAGTTGAGCGCCGGTCGCGGGAGAGGACAGACGCTGGTGCCCGAGCTCCTGTTGGGCCGAGCCTGCCCCGAGCCCGGTATCCTGAGGAGGGCTGGCCGAGCCTGCCCCGAGCCCGGTATCCTGAGGA